ATGCTTCAACGTAATATAATTTTACGAAAGATATATATTTGTTAAAATTTCCTCAACACTACTTATTTAGATTTTTACCTATATTTAAACATATTCACCTTTTTATTTAGAAAGCAAACAATAATATAGATATAACTTTATTATTTTTATTTTTATATTTTACTATAATTTAATATTAAGATACAATTAATTTTTATATTTTTTCGTCAATGTGAATTTATACTATTACTCTCTTGAAATATAATATTCAATTTTAAATATGAATTATTTCTTATATCTTAAAAAAACTTTTACAATCATACATTTACTATAACATTTAACCATTTTTTTTAATCTAAAAATAATATTATTTTAAATAAATTTCTTCCACTTCATTATGATCTCTTTAATTTAATGTTTCCATGAAATATGAATATCTTCTTATTATTAAAAAAAAAAAACTCTTATAGCTTTCCATTTCAATTCAATTCTTTTTTCATCCTAAATTATATTTGAGGTTTCTTTATTATTCTTAAAAATGATAGTTTTTAAACGTTTTTTATTTTTAATAAGTTATTATTTGTTTTTAATTGTATAATAAATTTCATTAAGAAGCTTTTTGTCCATCTTAAATAACATTGGTATTTTTATGAAATTTTCATAATTATTTTTTTATTTATTAATTAAATATTTAGGGATTATGTTCATTTTAAGTTATATATTAACAAAAAATTAATTTAAGTGTTTTATATGTAAATATGTTACACTTGTGTTATTATTATTCATGTAACCTTTATTTAAAACTGTGCATTAATTGATGATTACTTCTTTGATAATGAGATGTAATTAACTATGAAATTAAATATTTTGAAATAATTATTAGTAGGATCCATAATATTAATTTGGTGATGATGTGGACACCCTAAGAGGAGAGAAAACTCTCCCATTATATATACAGATTCTTCGTCTTTGTATTACGTATTAATTACATGGAAAAAAACAAAATATATGGCTTTGTTTTACATTTTTTTTCTGTAACATGGGAAAACAAAATATATCGAAAATAAGAAAGAAAAAGAAACGAAAAACTTGATGAAGCATCACTGTCAAGAACAAAGCCAGGAATCCAAAATCTTGAGAAAAAAGATCGGTGAAAATTGTCATTGGATATGTTTGCTCAGGATTTAGTGAATCTATATCATTGTAAAATTATTATCATAAAGACCTTTTTGCGTGGTTGTGTGTAGTGGATGGGGTCCTCATTCATCTTAATTTTTTTATTTTATTTTGGTTAATGAAAGCAACGTTGCCAAGTCCCCTTTGAAATATTATCCTTGTTTAAAATTAGATTTATGCAATTCGTGCATGGTGGTAGAGTGTTCTTGACGATAAAACCAACATCATAAGCTTACTACAGTTTCGCGTTTCATTCAACTGTGGGCAAACATTCATCGTTATACATTAATCATTTAAATTTCGATTCAAATAAATATATATATATATATATATATATTTTTTATTTTTTTTTTGATTCAAATATTTTATCTATGAAGAGATTGTTGAAAGCTTCCTAGCAAAAAGAATGTTCACTCTCTTAGATTAATCACTTCGATGAGAAAAAAGTATTAAATGTTGAATCTTAAAAAATATTAAATTTGTATATGTATCTTGCTTAGTATAATTAAGTGTACAACTAATATTTCTAGTCTCTTTACATCTTTAAGAAAAAAAAATTTGAAAATTGAAAAGGATTCAACTAATTTATACAAAATGTTTTTTATAGAATCATTTAATATGCAAACATTTCAAAATTGATTATTTACATAATGTTTATTACTATAAATTACCACGAGATTGAGCTCAATTTTGGATGGTATATATGGTGACTGATAATAAAGATAGTAATCACTTAATGGCATAATGTCCAATAAATTAACAAAACTAAAATAAATCAACTAAGATTCTAGCGGATAGGTCAGCACGTAGGGCTTGACAATACCCGCAAGATATTAATTATATAAATTTTATTCTTCCTATTGAAATATTTGAATTGTTTTAAATTATAAAAGTTTGAAAAAAATGAAAATCAACCAAAATTCTAAGTATTAATTAAATTTAATCGAGAAGTCCAATTTAGTCAAGTGGTAATCCATCTTTGCAACTTTTCTCATCGAAGTATGGTTCCCAAAAAATCGTGTTACCATCTGTTACGAGACTTTAACCATGGGTAGAACCTATTGATTGACGACAAAAAGAGAGAGTAAAGTTTAACTTAATCAACCAAATTATCACCGATCAAGAGATCAGATTGTCCGTTGTTTAGTCCAATAGACCGTTTCTCTCCTTGTTTGCTTTTATCTCAAGCTTTTGGACTGATCATTTTAATTGTGAATACATTAGTTATAATGCATGCATCCTTTTTATTTTAGTTTTTTTATTTCAAAATTCGACTCCTATAACTTTAGAGGGCACAATCCATTGCCTAATCTACCAAAGAAAACGATCAGGGACACAACAAGCATTGTCTTTTTATTCTCTTTCACAATTGCTGGGTAATTTATGAAAATGTTATGATTTCACCTTGGTTATATATATTTGAAGGAGACCGTGAAGTGTTAATCAACACAATTAAAGGATCCACCAAGAACAGCGAGATAGCAAATTTGTTACATGATATTTTCTATTGGAAAGCAAAGTTTAAATATATACGGGTTAATTTTGTCAAACGATCTTGTAACAACGCAGCTCACCATCTTTCTAAACTCGATTGTAATTAGCTCTTTTTCTTTTCGGATTATGTAACTCCGCCTACATGGCTAAACAAACTATTGTGTAATGATTTGATTAATTAATATACTAGCTTTTGACGAAAAACAATTATGAAAAATGTTAAATAAAACAATCTAACTATTATATTTTAATAAAATATATATAATATTTTGTTATACAAATGTAAACACAAATTAGATCTTACAAGCCACTTTTAATTAAGTTAACAACTTTAAATGAGATCCATATTTAATAAGATTTATAGGTCCACGTCAACCATTTTGACCTTTTGAACCCAAAATTGTAGGAAAAGTTTGAAACGTAAACAACTCAACATATAGACATATATGGCGTCAAAAAATCTAAACGAAGATAATCAAAACAAAACATCAAGGAGGCAATGTCCATGTGTTTGGTTTCTTGTGTCGTTTAAATTGCTACAAGATCTAGTACAAAAACTAAATAAAATGTAATATTGGGCACTGCTTTGGTCGTAATGACGTCTAATTTACGTCTGATTTCATCCTAATCCAGATATGAGATATGTATATCCAATTATCTGGATAATATATACATAAAAGCAATATTTTTCAAAATTTTAGTTTAATTAAATAATCAAAATCTAATATATATATATATATATATATATATCATGGTTATTTTAAATGCAAAATAAGATATCATTTGTCTTTAAACTTATACGTCAAATATTGTAATTTGTAATTAAACTTCAACACAAACTAATACGTCGCAAAAAAAAAAAAAAAAAAAAAAAAACTAATACAAATTTTGTTTTGAATTATAACCAGATACAAAAACTACGAGACAAAAAAAGATACAAAATCTACGGTTTTGTTATTATAGAAAATCATGGACCTTTATAATTTATAATTTTGGTATTAATATTTATGTAAAAGTTTGGAAAAAGGTTGTAGGGAGACAAGAGCCTAGCAGACTAGCAGAAGCAGGTATGGAGTTATTGTCATCAGGGTCAATCAAATATCAGTCCCATTCTCTTTTTTATCATGTAGCTATTATTTCATATTATTTGATTTTTTCAATTTTTATTTTATACTTTTAAATAAATTCTGTTTCAAAATCCAATAGTTTTGGTTGAAAAAAATATTTGTGGTTTAAATCATGCATCTTGTTAATTTCTTATTCTTTTTCTTCTCCCCTTGGTATTTGTGAAGTAAACCTTGCTCATTTATGTGTTGCTTTTATAGTTTTATTAGAATTGATATGTATGTACCATTTTAAATAGCTAATCCAAATACTTTTTTTTTTTTTCTAATCCAAATACTTTTTCTGATAAAAAATATAGATGGATTAGCCCTTAATTAGAAAAGCTACATTCTAAACTCTGTTATGAACTATATATGTACCATGAACGTCATCAATGGGAATGGACAAATGGCGAAAAAAAAAAACTTAACAAAATAAAAGATTTATAAAATGAATATTTTAAAAGGACGAAAATGAAAGAAATGACGAAAATGAGCACGACGTACTATCGTTCTCGAGTGCACGATACCGAGAAATTTTTGGACCCAATAAATACACGTAAACGTATGGGAGACAATCATGCACAGTCTACTATTCCAAAATCGAATAATATAATTTCATTTATTATTATTCTTCTTGTGATATGCAAAGACAATTAAAGGTATCACTGGATCAATGTAGCTGCATGCTTCCACCACCTAATATTCTTTGTTTTTTTTCACCTTAAGTTCCCTAATCAATTCCCGTATATAGGTTCATAAACACATAGATGAGAATATATACATAGGTGATAACGTGAAGATATATCCTAAACCATGTTATTTAACAAAAGCCATTGTTTGGACTAGAGGATACGGTTCCTTTTTCTTTTAATAATATCCATTAAAAACTCTTGTTAATTATTCGTTCTGTCATAGCAATTGATATGACAAAAATTTTGGTCTTCACGAATTCTTCAATCAAATCTGATTGGCATGCAAATAGAGAAAATGTGCTCAAATATACCTTAAAAGTGACTTAATTACTGAGATAGCACCTGTGGAGAGGGGTCTTACTCAAATAACACTTAAAAGTTGTCAAATGTCTTTTAAGCCTCTCTAACTATTTTATTTACTTGTTTGCCATTTTGAATTAAAAATAACAAAAAAAAATTTAGAAATTATAAATGAAAGAGAAAAAAAAACCTAAACACATCAAAAACTTTTCTCTTTTGGTTTTGTCGAAGCAACGTCGATTGTTACGGCGATATCTCGGAAGGATTCGATTCCGGTGGCGAAGGCGAAATCGGATAAGGTCATCATAGATTTCGATTTGTTTTTTTCATAGGGCCTAGTTAGTGGATAAAGATTTGATAGATTTCGATTGACGGAAGTTTTGCTAGGTCACTGGTTTCGCGACGGTTTCGGAAAGAAGCGACGGAGGATGGCAACCGGAGGCGTATATCGGCTGGAACAAAGCTTTACAAACCCGGAGCAATTGAAGAGTGTGAACCCTAAGACTTTGATACCTCTTCTCTTCTCTCTCTCTTCAAAGATATCTCTCTTCCCTCTACCTCAATTCCAATCCAAGATTCGCCGTTGGTGGTCCTTATCACCACCGTTATCCTCCGCTTAGCCACCCTGAAGCTTCGTCTGTTGCTCTGCTAAACGTCCAACTGTCTATGCTTCTCTGAGCCTTTCTACATTGGGGGAACAATTAGAACAACTCTCGGAAGAGAAGACCGTATGGATCGAGCCAATGGACGGTGAGGCAAAAGGCGTATGTAGAGGCGTTGAATCTGGATACGATGTTTACTCCGCAGCTTGTAGTTCAAGGCTGTTCTCAATTGATCGGAAACGAGGAAGAGACGCTGTTAAAATCAATCTCCGAAGCGCCTAGGTTTCCTTCTCCAGCTTTCCGGGTGAGTTTTCTTAACATTGTAGATGATTGTGATGATGATCTTGATGTGGAGGAATTAGATTTATGATAGATTTCAGCTCTTGTTTATGTGATTTCAATCTAAGTGTATAGGAATCCAAGTGAATCAAACATCAGCTACGAATTTTGCTTCTCGCCTGCAGATTCAAGAACATGGACATGTTCCTGTATATGATTCTGTGTTAGAACAATGTGTTCCATGAATATGACTTGCGGTATCGTTGCCCGTGAATCTTGTTAATGTTTAACATTGTTCATCCAAGAATTCTCTTTAGATACCGGGGCTATATTCCGGTCGCTGGGGGTCATCTGTTTTCTCAACATATTCATTAGACATTTATGAGTACATTGCTTTTGAAGGGGTTTTGTCTCTGCTAAAAGTGTGGTTAATGTGGTTGCTTTCTAGATAGTTATGGGGTATATGACAGGGAGGTAGGTTTATGAATGCAGGAAGCTTCTATAGCATTAGAATTTGCAACTATTGGTGAACCTTGACTAAACAACATCTATGAGAAATTTTGGTTCAACGACATGTTCTTGTTGATATTGTGTTATAAGATTATCTGGTCACGAAATCAATGAGTTCTTGACATAACAGAATAATGTGGCTCACTCTTCCTTCATTGGCTTTGTCACTCTTTACATAATTGGTGTTTTTGTCGAACTTTACACATGTAATATTTATCAGTAGTTGTATCATTTATTTCTATTTACCAGGCGACTTTCCAGAGACCAACCTCAGAGACACTGCAAGTATCACTCACCGGAGCTTTGAGAATGAAAGTAGATGGAAACGGAATGGACATAATTGTGGCGATATACGACATCGTTCTAGAATAAGAGCCTTGAAAGCCCCTGACTGATCATGAATTGTCTTTTGACAAGCGAAATGCTTGTGCTTGTGTCATGGATCCTTGGTTATTGTGGCTTTAGCCTCTGGTTATGTGGTGTAGGCCTTAGATGTGTTTTATGAGTTTTGTGTTTGTTGCTGGATTAGATTTTTCAAAGCTTAGCCCTGCAGGTAGTGTTGTTATTAATTGAAGTGAAAATAGTGTTTATCAAAGTTTTCATGTATCATTTCACATTTAATCAAATAGGTAACTCAAATGGTTGTTTTCTGCCTCATTTCCTCTGCATTTCCTGTAACAGCTTGATTCACTTGGTTCAATGGCTTGAATTCTTTGAATTTCAGACATGTGCTCTTTTTGTTAACATTTGTTGGCAAGATCTCTTGACTCTTTATTTTTTGTATGGCTGGCATGTTCACGCGTTTTAAATTGATTCAAGCGTTTCCTGGGGAATATAAGAATCTTTATTTTGGATCTAATACGATTTTTGAAGAATCTGGGCTTGCTAATTCTTTGGTTTCGGTTACTTGGGTCTGAAGAAGGTCTTTGTTTTTTTTGGATCTGTGTAATTAGGAAAAAAAATTGTAGCGATTTCTGCTTTTGTTTATGTTCGCTTACCGAAATCGAGAATCGAGAATCGGAATTAGGTATAGGCTTTCGAAAGGTCGAATCTTGTAAAATCGAAACGGAGAAGGAGAAGAAGAATAAGAGGACAGAGAATTGGTTAAGTAGGGAAATACTAACAATTAAAATATCTTTTGGTTTCTTAAGACAATGTCGTGTTCTGTTTCACAACAATTATCATGAATTTTATCACATTTCAACCAAAAATAAAATAAAAGTACTTAGCAGAGAAGAGATATTTAAATTGAAGGAAGAAACAACAAAAAAATTAATTATGTGGGTGGGCCTGGATTCAGTCAAAGTCGAGTCAAACCAGTGTGAACACGACATTTTATATTTTGGTTGGGTTATTGACAACTAGATATTGTACATAGTTGTATGTAGATGTGTTGTTGTCCTGATTATTTCATAGTTGAACAAAATGAAATTTAGTCATTTTAAAGTTGAACCTTGATATCGAAGATATAAATCTAGTTGGTCACATTAATTTCTACATTATATCGGGTTTTAAGAAGTTTTGATAGGAAAAGATTCAGGAAATAATATTTTCAATACTTATTGCATCAATATAGGTCATCATGAACTAAATGTTCCTTGTTACACAAAGAGTGATTTGTGTAAAAACAAGTTTATGATCAAATAAATTATTAAAAATTTATATATTATATTTGAAAATAGAAAATGTAAAAAATTATTAAAGTTTAAAGTTTTAAATGTTAAAAATCATGTGTTACGATTTAATTTTTAAAATGCCATAGATATAATTTTTATTTTAAACTCCTCTTAGTTATACGAGTTGAACCAGGAACTTTATTTTGGTATGCAATTTATATGAGTTTATGTTTTTGGTTCAACTTGTACAATGAGTTCAATGAGTCATCACCTCCATGGATCCTCATCTAAGAATACTAAAACTCCTTCCAAGAGGTTCCTTCTACAGCCTTCGACTCCATCTTCATCCACTATGGATTTGCGTCCAACAACTCACACTCGCAGTTCTTCTTCTTCGAGGAAGAGGAGGAGAGAGTTCGGAGCTGAAGTTCATGAGGTTCCAAGTGGTCCAAACCCTATCTCCAACTAGGTGAGCAACCGTTTTTTTTTGGGTAATTGGTAATTTATTTTAATATTTGGGGTGTGTTTGAAAGATTTTTTTTTTTTTTTTTTTTTTGTAAAAGGTTAAAATTTTGTAAAAACATAAACTCATATAAATTGCATACCAAAATAAAGTTTCTGGTTCAACTTGTACAACTAAGAGGAGTTTAAAATTAAAATTTTATCTATGAAATTTTAAAAATTAAATCGTAACAAGTGGTTTTTAACATTAAAAACTTTAAACTTTAATAATTTATTACATTTTCTATTTTCAAATATAATATATAAATTTTTATAAATTTATTTGATAATAAACTTGTTTTTACACAAATCACTCTTTGTGTAACAAGAAACATTTAGTTCATGATGACCTATATTGATGCAATAAATAGTGAAACTTTATTTCCTGAATATTTTCCTATCAAAACTTCTTAAAAACCGATCTAATGTGAAAATTAATGTGACCAACTAGATTTATATTTTCGATTTCAAAGTTCAACTTCAAAATGACGAAATTTCATTTAGTTCAACTATGAAAGAATCAGGACAACAAGACATCTACATACAACTATGTACAATATCTAGTTGTCAAGGACCCCACAAAAAATAAAATGTTGTAATATAAATTTTTTTAAAGGGTAAAATCGATAATTCATAATGTTATGTTCGCCCTACTTAAATCTAATCGCTAACAATTTCTTCTAAATCTACCACCACATACGTCCAAAAAAACGTTCAAACGTGCTAGTTGAGTAAACCGTTACTCTGCCTCGTTAGGACAGAGTTAAAAAATAACTCTGTCATAAGGATTAACTCTGTCATGTTACGACAGACTTATTTCGCAAAATCTGTCAAGTAACTCTATATCCCTCATTAAGTCTGCTGCCACTACATGTTACTCTTCCGCATAACTCAATTTTTTTTTAACTCTGCCACCACATACGTTAAATCTGTCACGGTGCTATTTTAGTAAACGTAAAGTCATCATAATCTGTCATGTAACTCTGGTTTTTTTTCAACTCTGCCACCACTGTAATTAACTCAATCAAATAACTCTATCGCCTTATTACTCTATCACATAACTTATTCAACCTAATAACTCTAACGTGATAATCTACCAAAACCTATTAACTCTATCGTCACTACAACGATAGACTTTTGATGTGGAGGGAAATTTTCCCTCTTAAAACTCACTTTCTCTCTCTGACGTGGCAGCATCTTTTAATGACAGTTTTGTAATAACTTTTTTCATACAACAACAATTCAAGGGTTATTTGGCCATTAATGATGAACTAAATAATACAAGCTATATAAGTAATAAACACATTTTTATGTGTTATTTGAGTAACTCACCCATGCAAATATTTGATGAAAATATGTAGTCGTCTCCTTTTATCTCTATTTCATGTTTTCTTTTGGAGTATCACGTAAAGGAAATGTGGTGTACAGTATTTTTGGTAGATATATAACTTCTTGACAGGATCTTTGTAGTGAGGTGGTCACATGTAATGGATTAAACCCACCTCTGTTCTTCGTGGGTTTAAATGCGTACACATAAACACACTGTTATAAAAAAAAAAAAAACTAAAGTTTTCTAACTATTATACCACCGAAAATGGAATTAATTGACAATGACGCTTTAAAAAACAACAAACCTTTTACGAGATAATATTGAATAACGTATCTAAAGTAAAACAATAACAATTGATCTTGCAATGTGTATGTAATTTCTTTTTTTAATATTGTACTCATTTCTTTAAAGTCTCTTGACTATTTTTAATTGGGACATTATTTTATACACGCAATATCTATATATAATCGGCGAAGCGTAGTCAACATAACATTTTCTTAGGGAGGCAAGTAAAGCTACAAAAAGTCTTGAGAAATAAATCAAAAGGAGAAAAAGAGCATGAAACCTTCTTTATTTCACCTCGTCTCTTTTGCTTTTATATTTCCTCAGCTTTCAAGATTCTTTGCCATAGCCAATTGACCATTACAGGCTTTGGCCTTTTCCTTGATATTTCCTCTTCTTCAGTGGCAGTCCTACCAAAAACTAGAAACATTCATAGGGGCAAAACCGTAACCAAACCAAAGAAAAACCTGAACTGATATCTTATTCAAACCCTAGTCTGTCCCATGTATATGTCTCACAGTACTCTTCAAAGATGCTCACGGAAAAGGGCTTTTAAGTAATTTGACACCTCGTGACATATCTGCCACACTTTTTTTATAAGCAGGTGTCCCATTTTTCTTCTCAAAGGCTGAACAATCTTGATGCGATGTTTTCCAACAACATCTTTATTATACCATTATTAGATTAAAGTGTGTGTGTGGAAATTTGAATATCTCTCTCTCTCTCTCATAGTTACCTCATCAAGCTCCTCCTTCAAATCCTTATTCTTGCTAGATTTCTCTTTTGCTTTTTATTTGATATCGCGCTGGTTCATGGATATTGAGCCTTGCTTGAAGTTTTGGGGGGTGGTTTTTTGTTCTTCTAAACTGCATGGCAACTACAATTGGTCAAACCAGCATCAAGTCACTGCATCTCAATCAACTCATCCGTTTCATCATCACAATCATCTTCTTAGCTTTCTTTGTTCTCATTAGCCCTATAAGTTCAATGAGTCATCACCTCCATGAATCCTCATCTAAGAATACTAAAACTCCTTCCACGAGGTTCCTTCTACAACCTTCGACTCCATCTTCATCCACTATGAATTTGCGTCCAACAACTCACACTAGACGGAGTCGCAGTTCTTCTTCTTCGAGGAAGAGGAGGAGAGAGTTCGGAGCTGAAGCTCATGAGGTTCCAAGTGGTCCAAACCCTATCTCCAACTAGGTGAGCAACCGTTTTTTTTGGGTAATTGGTAATTTATTTTAATATTTGGGGTGTGTTTGAAAGATTTTTTTTTTTTTTTGGTAAAAGGTTAAATTGTGTGTTTGAAAGATGAGTTAATATAGATTACTATGGAAGTGATTTGTAATGGATTGACTTTTAATTATATATCTGTGTTTCTTTTTTGAATTTCCCTTCTTCGTTTGTTTTAATCTTTTGATATTAAAAGATTTATCAACATTTCTTTGGACCTTAAAACAAATGACAAACTCTGGAAAAGAAAAACAGAATCTATGTTTGATCTTTGCAGACATGCCTTTACCCATCAGTGTGTTGCTTGCAACCCTTTGGTCCATAATGCTGAGCAGATTTCTTCACTACTTTCTTACAAAGATAACAGAAATGTGCTTGACATGCCCAGCAAAACAAGTGATTGTTGTTTCCCGCCTACACAATAACCAACTCAAGAATCATCTCATGAACCTCAAAAAACGATAAATCTTTGGCTTGATAAAACCAAATGTGTTATTTGGATTGCAAGCAACTAAGCATTGACAATTTAATGCTAATTATAAAGATTCTCATATTTTAAGTTTTGGAAGTTAGCATTGTATAGAAAAAAACGAGAATACTTTTCACACGTGTATGTATCCATCTATATAATTCTCTCACATTTATGTTTTATTTCTTTTATATATAGTATGTATCTATAAATATAATATCAATAAATAATGGGGGATATACGTACGAATGATAATATGTCAAAAATCAATTGGCTGCTTATTAGATTTAGAGCACAATTAATCAATCTTATCAAGTTTATTCTATCATATTCATTATATTGAAGTGCTATTAGAAAGAAAGTTTTTAGTTCTTCGACAAAAAAAAAAAATTATCAGTTAAACACAAAATTTTATGTGAAATTAAAAATCTGCACTGAATATTTTCAGAATGTGGAAAATAATATAGATGTTTTTTTTTGTCAACCGCTTTTAATTAGAGGAATATAGATTATATTTCATTTTAATGACACTTTTGTACTTTATACAATCTGAAGGACAAAAAAATGGCTTGAATAATTATATTTTAAAATAAATACATGTTTAAATTAAATACTATAATTATATCTCCAATCGTGAATTGTCTTCATATAAGATAGTTGGCTCCGTATTCAGACGAATTCCACTACTTGTTTGAATGTGTCGACTTATTGATCGTAGCCATACATATTCTCTACTCGCTTCATGGAGTGCGATGATTTCAACATGATTTGAAGAAGTAGCTACAAGCGTCTGCTTTTGAGAACGCCATGATATAGCAGTATCTCCAATTGTGAATACGTATCTCCAAGCGTCTGTTTGTTATCGAGGTTTGTGTGGGTCTGATAAATATCATGCATCTGCAAAACCAATCATTTGACCATTTATATTTTTAGGATAAAGTAACCCTAAATCAACAGTCCCTTGAAGATAAAGAAAGACATGTTTAATCCCCTTCCAATGTCTTCGTGTAGGGAATGAACTAAATCTAGCCAAAAGATTGACTGAAAATGATATATCAGGTCGAGTGCAATTTGCAAGATACATAAGGACTCCAATTGCACTTAGATACGGTACTTCAGGACCGAGTATCTCTTCATTCTCCTCAGGTGGTCGGAAATGATCACTTTCAACATTAAGTGTTCTAACGACCATTGGAGTACTGAGAGGAGTTGCCTTATCTATATTAAAATGTTTTAACACTCTATTGGTATATGTGGATTGATGTACAAATATACCCTTTTGAGTATGTTCAATTTGTAGGCCAAGACAAAATTTTGTCTGTTTGAGATCTTTCATCTCAAATTCTCCTTTTAAATAGTTTGTTGCTTTATGTATTTCTGCTTGAGTCCCGATTATGTTTAGATCATCAACATATAATGCGATTATCACAAATCCGAAATCTGTTTTCTTTATGAAAACATATGGGCATATAGGATCATTCACATATCCTTCTTTCGTTAAATGCTCACTGAGACGATTATACCACATTCGTCCAGATTGCTTTAACCCATATAATGATCTCTGCACTTTATTGCACACAACTCTTTGGGTTTAGATTTTAATGCTTCTGTCATATTAAACCTATTGGGAACTCTCATATAGATATCTGTATCTAATGATCCATATAAATATGTTGTAACGACATCCATGAGACGCATCTCTAGATTTTCGCCAGCTGCTAAACGCATCAGAAATCTAACATTATAGCATCCATAACGGGGGAATATGTTTTCTCATAATCAATCCCGGGTCTTTGAGAAAATCCTTGAGCTACGAGACGAGCCTTGTATTTCGTAATTTCATTTTTCTTATTTGGTTTTCTAACGAAGACCCATTTGTATCCAACCGGTCTCACATCTTCAGGTGTGAGTACAATAGGTCCGAAGACATTTTGCTTATTGAGCGAATCAAGTTCGACTTGTATTGCATCTTTCTATTTTATCCAGTCATGTCTCTTTTGACATTCATACACAGACTTTGGTTCTCGATCCTCGTTTTCCTCATCAATTTCCTTTGACAAAAGGTATGAGAAAACGTCATTAACATCATATATTTTATTTTGATCCCAGATCTTTTCATTATGGATAGTTGATATAAATCTCATGATTTGTTTCAGGCTCATGATGTTCATCATTGTCATTAGACTCATGATTCGTTTCTTCCAAAATGCTTTCTGCTATTTTGGGAATATCATGCTTTCTAACTTCCTTTCGTTTTCTAGAATTTTAATCCTTATCACCAACTGGTCTACCACGTTTCAAACGTGTTTTAGACTCACGCGTATCATCTGTTCCTCCACGTTCTTGTGGTATTTCAATTCGAGCATGAACATTTGCAGCTGGTATATATGATTTAGTTACCGTTTTTGTATATGCAAAAGCATCGGGAAGTTGATTTGCTATACTTTGCAAATGCACAATTCGTCGAACTTTTATTTCTGACTGTTTTGTAGGAGGATCAAGGTGTAACAGGGATGGTACAAACCATTTAATTTCTTTTCATACTTGCTTATTTTCTCCCCCTAGAACCGGGAATACTTTCTCATCAAAGTGACAATCGGCAAATCGTGCCGTAAAGACATCACCAGTCTGCGGTTCTAGGTATATTATAATTGATGCAGAATCACAGCCAATATATATTCCTAACCTTCTTTGTGGTCCCATATTTGTACGTTGTGGTGGTGCTATATCCACATACACCGCATAACCAAAAATTCTTAGATGGGATATATTTGGTTCTCGCCAAATGCTAACTGTAGTGAGGTGTATTTATGGTATGCACTTGGTCTTATCCGAATGAGTTCTTCTGCATGCAAAATGGCATGTCCCCATACAGAGGTTGGAAGTTTTGATCTCATGATCAATGGTCTTGCAATCAATTGCAAACGTTTAATTAATGATTCTGCCAAGCTATTTTGTGTATAAACATGAGCTATAGGATGTTCAACTTCAATTCCCGTTACCATACAATAATCATTGAATGCTTGGGATGTGAATTCACTAGCGTTGTCTAGTCTAATTCTCTTAATGGAATAATCAGAGAACTGAGCTCTTAATTTGATTATCTGAGTTATAAATCTCACAAATGCCAGATTTCGAGATGGCAATAGACAAACATGTGACCATCTGCTAGATGCGTCAATCATTACCATAGAATAGTGGAATGGTCCACATGGTGAATGTCTCGGTCTACAAAAATCGCCTTGAATTCGTTCAATGAACTTTGGTGATTCTTTATCAATTTTGGTTGGCGATGGCCTTATGATCAATTTTCCAAGAGAACATGCTGCACATGTCATTTTATTTCCATGATTCAACTCATGATGTTTCAATGAGTGACCATGTGAGCCCTCTATGATTTTTTGCATCATTGTGGTGCCTGGGTGACCAAGGCGATCATGCCATAATACGAAATCTTCTGGATTTCTTTTGATCACAAGATGTGATTCTATGGCATCTATATAGGTATGATGTAAACCAGAAGGAAGTTCTGGAAATCTTTCCAAGACATGTCTTTTTCCAGATTTATTAGAAGTTATATGCGTATACTTCTTTCCATCCTCAGTTGCAGACTGAGTTTCATATCCTTGAAGGTATATGTCTTTGAAACTCAACAAATTCCTCTTAGAATTTGGAGAATATAAGGCATTATTTATGGAAAACTTTCTTCCATTAGGAAATTTAAAATTTGTTTTGCCACTTCCTTCAATCAAGTCCGTAGGACCCGATATTGTATTGACAATAATTTTTGTCGGTTTTGATTCAGAGAAAAATCTCTGATGTCTCAGAATAGTGTGCGTTGTTCCACTATCTGGTATACAAATATCTTTGATATTTCTCCTTGCTATCGTTTTGTATGACTCTTGATCCAATTCTCTGTAATCAATATAGACTTTAATAATTATAAGCAAATATCATTGATATTGAAAATATAGAATAATCATACACTAATTCATTTTTAGAAACAACTTTATTTTCAAACAACAGAAATACATAAAACTTATATAATGGCATTACTGGAGACTAGCAGTCTCACTACAAGCATTTTAGTTATCCGCTCATTAATCTTTTCCGCTATTAGGAGTGCAACAAATAAATCCGAAAATTTGGTATACCCACATGATATATACAGTTTTTGTTGGGCAATGTGGTTTTCATGAAACGTGGTATACGTTTTCTCAAGCATCTGAGAATCGGTGATAATATCACCATAATATTTTAGTTTAACCATAATTTCCATCATAGCGGAATTATAATCCATCACTTTATCAAAGTCTTTGAACTTTAGACTTTGTCATTCATCCCGAACAAGTGGGAGATTTATGGCCTTTCGATTATCAAATCGAGCTTTTAGAGATTCCCAGATCTCTTTGGAATCTTTTATGTGTGCCACATATGATACTTTCATCAAGGTGTCTTAAAATAAAGATCACCGATTTTTCCCTTTCTTAAACCGTCGAAGTATTATTCTCTTTTATGGTTTTCATTAAGCCAAGAGATTGTAAATGTATTTCGACGTAAGCAATCCAAGATATATAATTAGCCAAAGTGATGTCTAGAGCTGGAAATATAAGCTTCTCAATGCTTGCCATTAGATATCTAAACACAAAATTAAATAAATATTATTAGTAAAATAATATTATTTATTTCATATTGAACCATTTATATTAATGATGCAAGCGATTACAAAAAACATAACTGCATAAAAAGTAAAGCGATACTTATGGTAAATTCTTCGCGAATAAATTCCCCAACGAAAAGACCATAAGTACATGCAACAATTGCGATTAAGCAAAGAATTAAAAACAAGCGAATCATTTTCCAAAAGAAAACTTAAACAAAATTCTTTAGAAAAATATACGAGGAGAGATATGATTTTTGAGTGAATGAATGAGTGAAAATGAGTGTATTTATAGATTGAAAATTACTGTTCATAGCCGTTTGAAAAATGATAAATTTTTGAAGTTTTTCTTCATGACCGTTGGTGAAAATAATTAAACAGAAAATCAATGTGTAAATTTTAATAGCCAATCAGTTAAATTTACCAAATTCAGATAATAGGTTTTTATACAGGTAGCCGAGCCTCCTTATATATTAACCAAAATATAAATATAACAGAAATAAATTTTAACGGTAATATTGT